ATTAATTTGTCTCGAAAAAAATCCTAAGAAAATACACCTCAATTTGAGATTTGTTTTTGTGCCTTATATTTCGTTGAAAGTTTGTATCTTAAAAGTGGAACTGGCTGTGGAATTTTCTTATAATAACATGAAAATAACATTAAAAAGATATTTTACCGTATTCTTGGCATTTAAAAAGAAAACAAAACAAGTGATTCGACTTTGATTATTCTCTTCATCTTGGAAAAAAAAGTTAATGGAGTAGCTACCCCATAAGACACGATAAAAATTTGAGAGGGAGGTGTAAAGAATATTTTATTTTAGTGGCCTATGATCTAAGATTCTCTAAAAAGTTTTTTAAAATATTATTGGATATTTTTGTTTTAGTAATGCTAAACAATAAACAAAAAGAGAATAGAATTGATAAAATTGGTTCATTTTTTTATTTATTTATTTATATAACAAGGCCTTTTTTGGGAGAAGATAATTGTAGATTCTTCGAATAAAATTAATAACTATTTTTTGGTTTAAAATTTGATAAAATATCATCATATTCATTTACAGAATTTCACCAAATGAAACGATTTAAAATCCTAGCAAGTAATGTTTCGGGATAATTATTCTTTTTTGGGAATCCTTCTAGCTATTAAACTCCCAGTTGTATTTTCTTTTGTGATTCTCCCAATTGTAATGTTGATATACTTTTTAAACTTTATATATTTATCCCAAAAGTCACTGATAAAAAAAACTTTCTTATTACTTTTTGTTGTTATTAAAAAAAAAATATTCAAAAATAAGATGAAATTAAAAATGATAAAGTCAAATGCCACAATAGAATGCTGAGATAAGGATAAAAGATAATTCATTCAAAGTTAGAAACACTATTTTAAGCAATTCAACTCAACACTCTATTGTGACAATTTCTTTTAGCCCGTAAAAAAAAAATTTTAAAAAATTTAATGAATGAAATACTTTAAATAATAAAAATCGATAAGTCACAACCAAAGTAAAAAATGTTATTATCTGATCCTATTCAAAATTACAAAAAAGTGAAAAATTTTCCTTTACCGTGGCTACCACCTTAAGTATGAAAAATAGTTAAAAACAATTTTTCATTCAGAAATACTGAAAATAAAAATTAAAATCAATTAATCTAAGAAATAATTATATTCAAAGAATAATTCCTTATATTATTTACAACCAAACCAACAATAAAAATTTTAAATTTACTTTATCATTAATATCCTAATGAGCCTTTTTTGAGATCTCAAAAATAGTAAATTTTTTCAACAAATTTGAGTAGTTGTGTAATTTCTAACGAACATTATTTAAAAATACAAACAATTGCTTAATTTATAATATATATTGCTTAAAAAGAAATATTTTTAGGAAATCAAACCTATTGCCTAATTAGTAATATTTTAAACAATTTTATGTTATATAAGCAAAAAGAATTGAAACTATTCCAAACAATTGGAAAATTTATTTATAAAAAGAACTTGTTTTTTAAAATAAGAAATATACAAAAATTGATAATAAAAGAATCATTTTAAAAAATTCAAAAAATAAAAATTTACTATTATGCCACTCAAAAATGTTCAACATTTCAAATAAAAAATTTTTTTGATCAATATTCCAAATTTTAATTTTTCATTGATAGAATAATATCCAATAGATATTAAATTTATATCTCTCATATAAGATTTATTTATTTTTCAATTATAACTAATTATTAAATTTTTTGGAATAGTTACAAAATATGAAAATAAAAAAGTAAAATTGCAAAATAACAAAAAAAAAAAAAAAAAAAAAAAAAAAAAACACAAAAGATAAACTAATGTTTTGTAAAAAAATGATTTTAGTAAAATACATTTTTAATAAATTTTAAAATTTTTTATTATAAATAATAAAGCTAATGAAAGTTTCTCTTATCCTTTAGCTCCTTTATTAATAAAAGCTCTGATTTTCTGAAAAATTCAAAAAAAGAAAAAATTCGCAAATAATCCAATAAAATTGAGAACTTATAAAAGAAAAAAAATTTTTTTTAACTAAAAATTATTAATAAAATTAATCTTTAAAAACAAAATCTTGAATAAAATTGAATTTAAGGGGAATAAGTTCAATTTTATGAAATATGTTCTTTCTATTAAACAAATGATTTATTAATTGCTCAATAATTGTCTGAATTGTTCAGTTTATCGAATGATTGCGAATAAAACAATCAATTGTGTAAATTATTTTTATTTCGCAATAGAAAATATATTACACAATATTAATTCTTTATTACGTAACCACTGTTTCTTTTATACAAAACAATTATACTTTTACGAAACGACTCTATTTTTAATGATAGACCAATCAAAGAAAAACCCATACTATAAGATAGTATTAAGGGACTAGTTAACTAAAAAAAATCTTCCATCAAATTTAATTACAAATTCAAAAAAAATTACCGCATCTTGAAATTGAAAAATGGTCTCAAAATCTCATTACTAAGAGAAAATTTACTTTTAAAGCTATTTTCCCAGATGAATTATTGTTTAAAAAAGTCTGATCCATTTTTCAAATTCTTAAAAAGTTCAAAATTCACCTATTTTCAAATTATTTCAAAAAAAAACTATTTCCCATGAGAGAAGAAAGAAATTTTAATACTGATAAATTCAAATTTATGTAATAAAATTTTTAGTTCAATTTCCCATTCTGTAATCTCATATCACCACTTTTAAAAACAACGTAACATAGAAATATTTTGAAGGATTAACTAATTTTACAAAGTTTCTTTACATTTAAATCAATAAAATACTTTATTCAAAGCTTGAGTAAAAAATTTGAAAAAGGAAAATGAAGTAAAACTTTTCAGATATTTATTTGAATTTATCAGTATCTGTTAATGAAGCGTACAAAAATACACTTAAAAAAGTAAACCACTTTCGTTCTTTAAAAACTTTTGATAAAAAAATATCTTGATTTCAAAAAAATTACAATAATTATTCTAAACTCACAAAAAAATATATAATTTCTTGTTATCAAATGACATTCCAAATTAATTTTTTCTTTTTGCTTAATAAAAAAGTATATGAGAAAAACAATCAAACCATTAAATTACAAAATTCTTCAAAATATTGTTTTAAAACCTGGGAAATTCAACAAATAATCTAAAAAAATAATTTTTAATTTGATTATTTATAATTAATAATTATAAACCCAATCTTAATTATTTCAGTAAGTCATTAACAACCCAATGATTAAATGTATCGAATAGGTTTAACAGATATTTCTCAATTTTTTCAAGATTTTGCAACAAATAAAAGGAATTCATCTAAATAAATCTAATAAAAAATAAAACAAAGTAAAAATTATCAAATATCTGATTTTAAAACTAACAGTTCCTTGTTTATACCTTAATGTTTGGAAAAGAATATTGCCTAAACTCTTAAATTTCAAGAAATTTAATAAAAAATTTGTGAATATAGGAGAAGATCAATTTTTTTAGGATCTTCAAGGATTCGATATTTGATTTATTTTTATTGTATTTTTAAAATAAGATTAAAGTTCTAAGGTTACTTGTTCATAAAGGTTCTTAGAAATTACTAAAAGTGAGATTACTTCAAAATTAATTTTTTTGGCAAATTTTTCTTTTTCTAATTTGATCGAAAAATCGAAACAAAAAAGAATCCAGATCTCTTTTTACTGGAAATTTAATTGGAAAAATGAATTCTTTTAAAAATGATAACTCGTCTGTCTAAAGTTGATAAATGAAGTTAATTATCGGACTTAATTGTACCCCTGTGTTAATAATTACTCTTTTACTTTTGGGAAAAAAATAAATATGAGTTACTAGTCTCTTCAGAGAATGTTATTGTATTGAACCCTTCATTTTGTCTTTATTTATTTATTCTTTTCTTAATTGTTCTTAATTTTCCTATTTATTAATGATTAATAATTAAAAATCTTCTTAAACTTTTTTTTTCCTTTTAGGTATGCCTTAAGAGACTAGTATCTATTATTTTTTTTTTGACCAATTTCTAAATGAGTATTCCTAATCTAGAATTATGGTTAATATTGAAAAGAATCGGATTGTCAAATCTAAGTAATTGGCCAAAAAATTTCTCAATCTCGATTATATTTAGGTAAAAAAATTTAATAGAGATTAGTCCCTTAAAGAATTCTAATGTTTGGAGAATTTTCCTCTGATCTAATTGTTTACTAATTGTCTTTTTTCCAATTCTGAAATATTTCTTACATAAAGGACCCAAGTTTCACCAAATATTTACTCTAAAGAAGCAGTAAAAAAATATCAGAGAAATCAAGATATGATCTGAAATTTCAATCCGTTTCCAAAACAACTCTAATTTCTAAATAACCAAAAAAATCAAGTAATTGAAGTAAAATTATTATTTTCATTTATTATTCAAACACTTACCAGACAACTCAAGTTAAAAATGATACCTTACCAACACGATACTATTCTAATGATACAATTGATTGAAAAAAAAAATAGTTTCAATTTTCCTTCAGCTTTTCCTAAAATCAAAAGACAAGAATATATATCAAATATAAAAGTTTTCAATTCCTAGAGGGAAATCTCAAATACAACTTAGGGTTGAAAAATCACATGAACCAATTTCTTCATTTATCTTGATTTAAATTTGTTCAAAAATAATCTCGAAAATTAGAATTTATTCATACTGCCAAAAGTATTTCATTAAAAAATAAATCAACAAAAACTGAAAATCAATTTACAACTTTTGAGTTACATTCAATATTTCAAATTAGGCGACTCGAAAAAAATTTTGGATTCACAAAGAAAAGTATCAGCCTCACAAGGATCAAAAAACGAAAATTATAAAACTGAAAAAGGATTTTTTGCAATAACAAAGATAACAATTCTATTTTATTTTCTGTTTATTAAAAAACAAAAGAAATGATATTATAACTTGAATAATTAAGCGCTTATAGCTCAGCATGTAGAGCATTTCACTTGAAGGTCATGGGTTCGAGCCCCATAGAGGCGTTTAATCTCGCCTCTTAGCTCAGTCGGTAGAGCGTCCAGCTGTTAACTGTACGAAAAGGTCGTCGGTTCAACTCCGACTAGGCGCTTTTTTATGCATGTATTTTTCGCTTATGAATGACGTCACGTGTATGTCATCTGAGAAAACGCTTTTTTTTTTTTCTTTTTGAAAATTTTCAAAAATAAATCTCCATTTTTTTTTGTTTATTTAAGTGACAAATAATCAACTATTATTATTTAAGAAGTCATGAATTTTTTTAAATTAAATCAAGAAAAAATGGCATAATAATCATTTTTTCAGATTTAATTATATTGGTTATTTTTTGATCAAAGATCTTTTTTAATATAGACTCTAATAATTTAAAGTAAAAGTGAAATTTTTTATTTTTTTTTTTCTATTTTTGATAATTATTTTATTTTCTTGAAAAATCCTCTAATTTTCAAAAATCGATTGTATAAAGGAGTGTATGAAAATGTGGGTTTACTCTTGAATTTTAATAACTGGTTATTATTTTTTTTTTAAAATTAGGAAATAGAACCTTGCTATTATTAATGTAAGTCAAGTGTTTTGGGAGGCAAGAGGAGAAAAACAAATAACTTGAAATATTAGAAATTAAAATACTTTTTAGGTTCTTTTAATTTTTTTAGTCTTTGAAAATTTCAATTTTTTTATTTTAGGGGAATTTCAAAATGATTCTTTCAAAATTTAAAATTTTTCTAGCAAATAAAGATTAAAAAATAAAAAAAAACACAAATGAATTTTAATTTTTAATTTTCAAAATTTATGTTAATTGTAGTAACTTGATTCCAATCATACAATAACTCACACTATCTGATTTAGAATTCAAAATTATTCAATATATTTTTCTTTCTTTGTAATATTAAAATATTATCCCAAAAAAAAAAATAAATTGGATAATTATTTAAACCTCAACTCAATAACAACCTTTATATGATTTATCAAAGGTTATATTTATTTCAACATAAATTTCGATTTTATCGATTGGATTTTTGTAAAGTGTTCTGACTAATAGAAATTCTCACTAATTTGAATTTGAAAATAAAAAAGAATTTTATCTAATTTTTGGTGGTTTTGAAATATTCCCAAAAATTCCCGAAAATTGAAATTACTCTACAATTATTTAATCAACTAAAAAACACACTTGAAGAACTTTTAAGAAACTGCAGTGTTCAGAGATAAATATAAACTAAATTTCATACTAAATGACCCATGTATCATTTGAATTTTGAATTGTATTTGTATCGTTTTGAAGTTTTCCACCCACACAATGAAAAGTTTGAAAATAAATCATTTTTTCTCTTATTTATTTTTTCGAGAATGTTTTGTTTAAATGGAAAATGAAAATGAAAATTGGAAAGAAGTAACAGATGAATTAATGAAAAAATTGGTTTCAAATATGAAAAAGAGATTAGATTTAGTTATTCAAATGGAAGGAGAATTCATAAATGGGGTTTATTAATTATTTAAGATTTCTATTTTTTATGTAATGCTTATTACAAAATAAATTACCCAATTTTTTTTTTATTGTTTTTTTTTTTCCTTTTTTTTATTATATTTTTTGACGAAAAATAAATATATCTTGAGTCTTAACTGAATTTTAAAATATAAATGTTTATATTATAAAATAATAATTTTTAAAACATTTTTTTTTTTAAAGATATTCTAGCTTAATGATCTGAAAAGTTTTTTTTTTTTTTTTTTTTTTGGTAACTTTTGAGTATATTTGAGTAGGTAAGTTATTGTTAGGGTAGGTAAGTAAATGTATATTTCTGGGTATATACAATGTGTTATGATAAGCATATGTGTATGTGTTTGGTAAGGATTGTGTATGACTCAGCGGGGTTAGATTACAGCTTTATTTTCTTGATTGGGACGTTTAATGAGTTTTGACCTTTGGTACCTTGAGTAGGGTGGGGGTCAGTTTCTGCAGAATTAGATATTATTCTGATTATTTGGAATTTGATTTAAGATTACAAAATTGTCTTCTTACAATAATGAATAATGATATACAACTAGATATTGTAATTACAAAGTTATTTTCTCTCCTTTGTAAATACCATTGAGTAATGCTTAGAAATAAATATCAGGCATCCAAGATACCAATTCCCTTCAGAGAAAATGTATTGAATACTATTCCCTCAAATTTACAATTATTTTGATGTATATACTTTCAGTTATAAAAAAAAAATTTTTTTTGAAATAAAATTCCAATTTTACCTATAAACTGAGTATTTTGACACAATACTTTCTTAAAAGGTTTTCAAAAAGTATTTTTAGTGGATCAAAAAATTTGGAATATTTGCAATTTTCAGGTATTTTCAGGAATATTTGATAGATCTGATTTTGCATTTTTTTTTATTATACATTTATATCATAGAAAAAAATACACAATAACTGAAAATAACCCCAGATATCAATTATAAATGTTAATATTCAGTAATTATTTTTGTATTTGATTAATAATTTTTTTTTTCAAGAATCAAACTCTGAAAATTATAACTATAAACTATTTGAATCTTCAATGATAATTCTATTTTTAAAACATTTTAATTGACTTTATAATGTTCTTGGAATTTTTTGGCGATTTTTAGACTATATTCTTATCTAAATTTTCTTTCAATTTTAGATCAAGAATCCCTTTTCGAATTTTATACAATTTTAGGATTACTTTTCTAAATTGTTTTTTTTTTTTGATTAGTAATATTAATTGTTTTTCTTTTGTTTTCTTTTATTTATTATTTTTTCGAAATGTGGTTTTTCTTGAATATTTTTTTTTTGTTCTTTTTTTTTTTCAAAAGATCTTGTCGAAAAAAAAAAAGATCTTTGAAAAGACCAATAAACTTTGAGAAAATTGATACTATGTAATTCTTTAAAAATGAATTAAATTATTAGTAAAAAAACTCGTTGTTAACTTTTTTTCCGTAAAAATTCTATTTTAAAAAATCTGAAATGCTCATTTCAAAAAATATGAATCACCTTTTATGTTTTTGACATTATTATTTTTTATTTTTAGAATATATCAGGTTTTTATTTATTTTGAATGATTTAAAAGTAAATTATTAATCAATTTAGTACTTCTTTTTGAATATTAAAGAATATAGTTATTTTTATTTTTTTTTTTAAATTTATTATTTCAGGTGAGTCACAATTTATGAAATGAGGTTTATATTACAGACAGTTCCACTTTTAAGACACAGACTTTCAACCAAATTTAAGTACAAAAAAATCTCAAATGATGGAACATTTTTTTTCATTTTTTTTTTTTACATTTTATTTTATTAGAATTTGAATTTTGAAGCTTAATCTGATAATTTTTTTGTGCCTTAAATTTTTTTGAAAGTTTGTTTCTTAAAAGTGGTATTGACTGTATACCAATTAAAAACAAAAATCAATCAATCAAAAAACACAAATAAAAAAAAGGTGAATATCCACATCATCCGGAAACCATATAAAACTCTAACATTTTTCAAAATAAGTCGATCCACTTTCATTTCTCATCCAATTAAAGAGTATTCTATAGAAACCCTACGTTCAAGAACTTTATATAAGTTTCTTATAAAGTTCTTTATAAAATTCTTTAGTTATAAACAATTGTTTGGTTTTATATTTTCCTAATATTAACAATTAATAATGATGCCCTACCGAATTTTAAATGTTAGAAAATTTTTTCAATAAATGTATGAGATTTTTAAAAAAAACTTTTGAAAATTGTTTTTTGGAAGAAATAATGTGAATAAAAATTGATCTTTATTAGAATTATATTACCATCTGTAATTTTAATTTGTTTATTGAGTAGTACAAGATAAAAGATATATATTTTATTCTTTCATTATCTTTCATTTGTATTTTTTCTTCAATTTTAATCAGAAATTGTTATAAAATTAAATCTAATATTACAAATAAATTTTAATAAATCTAAAAGTATCATAATATAATTTATCGAACGAATAAGCACATATACTAATTGATTCTTATTTCAGTCATAAAAACAGAATTAGAAATTAATTTAAATCCAGTAATTTTTTTCCATTTTTTTGAAAATTGAAAATTTAATTTTAATAGGTGTAACTTGGATAAAATTTCAAAAAAAATAAAAATAATTTTTCATAGAAAACCAAGAATGCATTTTTAATTTTTTTTTTATAAAATTATTTTTGGAAAAAATGTTGTAATCTCAGCAGATCGAAAATTTGCACTAAAAAAATAATCTCAATAATAAAATTTTCAATTGATATTTCTCTTTATTTAAACTTTTATATTTTAAATAATTTTTTTTTTTTTTTTTGTTTTTAAAATTATTAAATAATATTAAAATTAAAAAATATTAATAAATACAAAACTAAAACTCCAAAAAGAAAATACATTGATTATTAATTTTTTTTTGCAATTTTTTAATTTATTCAAAAGTATATATATTTTTTTTCATGTTTTTAAATCTGTTTCAAAAGGTAGAAAATAGAATATATTTTTTTTTCAAACCAATCACTTCCTAATGAATTAAAATGTTTTTTATTATTATAATACAAAAAAAAAATGAAAAAAAAACAACCCTTGGTTTCTATTTAGGAATTCATATTGTTGAAAAATAAAAAATAAAAGAAAACAAAGCTTTTTTAGAAAATTAGTTTGTGAATTTTTGATTTATTTTACAATTTTCTATTATATTAACAAAATTTAATTTTTTATATTGTTTCAAATAAAAAAAGAATAATTATTATTATTAATCCTTTTTTTTTTTAGATTTTTTCTTTTTTTTATGACTTTTTTTTTTTTTCTTTTCTTTATGTTTCTCTTTCCTTCTCTTTCTTTTCTCTCTCTTTTTCTCTCTTCTTTTTTCCTTTCTTTTCTCTTTTCTTCTCTTTTCTTTCTTTCTTCTCTTTCTCTCTCTCTTTCTCTTCTCTTTTTTCCTTTTCCTTTTTCTTTTTTCTTTTTCTTTTTCCCTTTCTCTTTCTTTTTTCTTTTCCTTTTCTCTTTCTTTTTCTTTTTCTTTTTCTTTTTCTTCTGGTTTTTCTTTACCATCTCTTCCTTTTTCCTTTTCTTTTCCATTTTCATTTCCATTTTCATTTC